CCTTCTGATACGAAACCTTTTTTTAAGTTCCATATCAAACTTTACAAAATCATGAGGGTTTAGTAAGAAACCATTTGGTTTTAATATGAAACTCTAAAGGTTTCGTATTTCCCCTACGGAACCCTTTTCTGCTCTACTGAACTTAAAAAAAGGTTTCGTAGCAGAAGGTTCTTATCCTGGGCATACGGTAAGAACCTTTAAAGGTTTCGCAGATTTTTTTATACTTTTTTTGAAACTTTGGACACCTTTAGATGCTTTTAGAAATCTCCGGAACCTTTTTTGGGGGTTCAGTAAAGAGCCGATTCTTTTAGAGTGTAATTGGTCTAGGTTTTAAACAGTACAATTTTAATTCATTAATGCCTGTAATGAGGCCGCGGTGACGCGCCACAATAATCTCGCTTTTAAACTTACGCTCATCATTTTCTACGACAGTATCTGTGAGTTCTACAAAACAAAAAAAGTATTTTTAACTATTACACTTTGTAGAAAATCAATCATTTTGAGCTCTTTATCTATTAAAACATGCTTGCGACGATTTTGGAGAATACTCTTGATACGAGTGAGAAGAAGACCTATAGCCACATCGGCACGCGTCTACACTATTCTGAGTAGGGATGCGGTCATGAATGGTCGGCACCAAGACATCCCTAATCCTGAGCTCCACTACTGATGATTTAAGGTTTTGTGTAAATCTATTAATTTACCTAATATTGCAACTTTTAAGGTTATGTTAGTCAGAAGGAAGAGCATCTCAGTAAATTGTGAGCTCCAGAATAACGTTTTCCATGACATTGACATAACTTTGAAGACGCCGAAACCATACTGCATTTGAAAACACCTATCTCCTATTTTAGATAACGTACCAACACTCTCACTCCTCTATCGTCTTTAGGCTGCTACGGCATCATGCTATCACACAGGCATAATGACAAGCGTAAACCTCAAAATTTTAAAATAGGAAAAGGACGCATGTTTAGAAGAGAATATTGCAATTAATTTTCATACTCTTGTAATCAATTCGAAAATTCGAAAAGAGATATTCTTCGGCTCGAAAAATCTTCAGTCAGCCGCATGATTCGAATTTTCTGCAAGAAAAATACAATCTTAATGGAGAAAATGAAAAATCACTGAGACTAACCAGACTTGCAAATGAATTCTTTAGGTTGTACGAATTAAGAATATCCGATGCCTTCTGGTGAAAACTCTTCTGCGCAATCAAAGATATCATGTAATTTCATAAAAGGTTTTAGATAAATTAAATATTTCTCGATATGTTTAACTGAGCTGGTTTTCAAAAACACAACAAACAATTTCTCTGTACATTCGTATGTTATAATTTATCGATTGAGGGACGTCATTTTTGATTTCATTTGAGTTGACGAAATTACGGTTACTATTTGCAAATTCAAATATTTTTTTCCTTGTATTTTCCTTACCTATGGGCATTGGCTTGATAGGTGATGGCATAGGTTTCGGTGGTGGTTGTACAAGTGGTAATGGTGGAATAGTTTCTTCCAGCTGAATAATGTGAAGATCACCTTGAGTCAGACAACTGATTACTTTGAACTGGGTTCCGGCCATCAGAAGAACTGCATTTTCAGCTTCATAGCTCGAATGTCTGTGGATATCTCTACCGGAATGACATTTTATAGCAAACATTGTTCTATGACCAGTCTTTCCCAAAAATTGTTCCGATTGTAGAACATTTACAGATGTTGTGCAATATGAGAATCCCCACCAGACGATTGTTTCCCCTTCACGGTACTGCATACTCAGGTCTAATCGAACGCCTCTGTATACCGTTGTGGATAGTAATGGGAGACGAAAAAGTGCATTGAGAAAAAGTCTCAGAAACAAATGCCATGGCCTGAGATGTCGTCTTCGATCTTCTGATCTTAATACCTCGTTCAAAACATGGTAAAGGCACTCATCTGCTGGCTCCCATTCCATTGTGTACAGCATAATCGAAGCAGACTCATCTTGTGTCAAGCCATCGGCAGGATTATCACAGTTTTCCTTGGCAACATAAACGCGCCGCCGAACATCTGGTACAATAGAAATAAGTGGTTTGACCGCCTCTTCAAGTGAAACAAGTGGCATTTGTGCGCAGCCAAGAATTCGGTCGATGGATGGAAGTGGCTCGTCAGCAATGTCTGTAAGACGTAATTTGCTCTGCGCTGTAGATTCTTTAGACATTTTCTCAATAGAGACCTTGTTTTCCACGAAAATTTATATTGATCAATATCTGCAAAGTAAGCAAAACAAATTAATAGATTATTTCCTTTCACACAGACCTATGTCGGGTCTTGAATGATTTTAAAGATCATAAAACGTTTTTAATGCTCAGTCAGATAATCATACGTAGCTATCTTTTCATAGCACTGATAAACTGATATTGAACTTTTGTTCTCAATCAGTTATATTACCATATTCTTAATATTTCAACACATGAAAGAGTCAATTTACTAAAACCCTCTGATCCAACAATATTTGCTACCGATGTCATTTTCTTTTAATGAAAACAGATAGAAACTATACTGTTACATAGATCATGTAGTGATCTCGACAGGGGTGGATAGAAATACGATTTCATATCAAGGTAGACCTTAAATTTGTGCTTAAGCGCTATTACTAATGGTCGCGGCTTGGGGTATGCAATGTCAGCGACAATACCGAAAAATCGTCACTTTTGTCACAGATAGTGACGCTCAGCGAACGCCACAACACCGACGTCAGTGAAACACCGATGACCACTGTATAAGTGATCACTGGTGCACTGTTACCATCGGCATCACTGTTACGTGAGGTACACTGACATCTCGCAAATAATTGTTACATAATACTGCAAGAGCTCGGTACTGAAGTTGCAGGCGTACTCAATAGTTCTTTTTAGCAAGTCCTTTTAAAATTGAAAACATGTCTCCATATGTTCTCTAGAGAACTATTGCTGATCTAAATGATCGAAAGGACAAAGCGTATATCATATTGGGATAAACAAAGAATATTTCGCTTGCTGTTTAATAGAATTTAACATTGAGTAGAGTCAGCTGTAAGAAATGCGAGAAATACATTTGATAAAGTATTCAACTGATATGGTCACTCAACCAATAAGAACATCTTACGTATTGTAATATTTGATCTGGAAGATGTCATGATACTCCGCTTACGAATTGCAGTCAATGGAAATCAACATCAATGTGTTTAGTTTTAGACCGCATTTGAAGTATCCCGGATACTGCACCCCTTCCGGGTACCCTTCACCCCCATTCACATCCACAGTTACCCCTTACCCCCCCCCCCCCCCTCAACCCACACCCACTGCATCTTAAACTAAATATAAAAGTAAAACTAGATCTATTTCTATCACTTATTTTCGAATTGATACCATGCAGTTGGATGTCCATTTATATTCGAATTCGAACGAGGCATCTCATGCAATTTAGAAAATATTTTGAAGTTTTTTGATAAATTCAAAACATTCCAACAAGCAAATGGCGATTGAAAGAAATATTTAGCGTTTCTTTTCAGAAATCAACCAAATGCACTCAAAAAACCGAAATATACACATCTTCAGATAACAAATACTAGCAGACAAAAGAAAAAAGACTTCATGATTGTTAAAATATGATTCTTTAATTATAAGTATATCTTTTTTCGGTTTTGGTCTTATCGGTATTTATGCATATGTTGCGAGAACGGTGCTTCTCCTTCTGGTTGAATTTTCTGCTGTGTTGTTAATTCTGTTGTGTTGTTAATTCTGTTGTGTTGTTTAATCCAGAGTATTGTAGAATATCCATCGACCATCCAGAATTGATACTCAATATATATGATAATAGTGTCTTTGGCATGCCACCAAAATCAATCATGATTTTAATAAACATTCTATCATCTGGAACATATGGATTAGCTTCTTGATGGAGCATTACCAATGGAAAGAATTTAGGCATATCACATAGCTATATTCGTGTCTGATCGATTAGGTGAATTGAAGGGAAACTTTAACAGAGGTCGTAGCAGCCCATGTTTCAAAATCAAAATATTTTCAGATTTATTTAAAAAGTTCATTAAGCGATTAAATCTTCACAAAAGTGAATAATAAAATAATGGTAATCTATTATAATACTTACGTCCAAGTGCATTACTCTGATGAGCCTCAGAAATCACGAAGAAAAAAAATCAAAAATCTAACGAAATCATTTTTCGTAAAGCTATTCAAAGTCGTATATTTATATAGATCTTGAAATATTAAGTATAACAAAAGAGTATTTTAAAGTCACGTATATTTATGTGAAAAATCTTAAAATAATCAGGAAAGTAGTACTACTGCGTGGCCTGCTTTAAGATCACGCTATTTGGTCCGCGAATTAGAAGCAAAAAATAATGATATGAATGCACGTCAAAGATTTCTGTGCCTATTTAAGTAAAGCCAAGCTCGTATCTTGTAGCCAGTCGGCGATGAATAAAATGGAGGAAACTACATTGATGTAGGTCTTTCAGCTAGCGCATCCACTCAACAAATAATTTAATGATCTTTTATCGTGTTCTGAAACCTGTGGCTAGATATAAGATTCTGCTCTTATATCCTGTGCGGTGTGCCGTAGAAAGACCGAAAGGAAAAATATAGAAAATGACCAAAGGAAAAATGTCGAAAGAAAAATGTCGAAGGAAAAATATCGAAAGAAAAAATATCGAAAGGGAAAAATATCGAAAATTTGCACTANCATTTTTCTCTTCGACATTTATCCATTCGACATTTTTCCCTTTCGATATTTTTCTTTCGGTGTTTTTCTTTCGGTATTTTTCCTTTCGATATTTTTCCTTTCGGCCTTTCTACGGCCAACCTCCTGTGCGACAAGAAGATTTCATTTCGAAAATTTGTAAGGCTACTTCAACCGTTCAGGTTGAACCTGTGTTTTTCAGAATTCATTAATACAAAAGAAAGAGCGAAAAAGCAAAAATGAAAGTATTAGATTATTCCGTATACTTTTCATTATGGTGTACCTAATGTTCTCATAAAACATCAGTTTTTTTCCATGTCAACTATTTCAATTTTCCATGCTCAATGTTCACGATGACTGAGGATGTAAATATATGACAATATAATTGAAGAGAAATCCTTTGTCATACGTCTTTTGTTAATACCAATGAAATATGATAGAATCACATGAATTTCAGTGCTATTCAATAATTGTTGAACTCAAGATTACAACATACAAGATAGGTAGGACACAAGCAAATTTGCATGTCAGCTCTTTAATAACAAATTCGAATAGTCAACTTATATGAATATTTAAAACTGTAGGTGTTTATGTTTCTTTTTAATACATCAAGATAAAAACATAAGTAATTGTTTACTACGTAGACTAAGGAGATGCTCAGCTCGTGTAACGTATAGAGACTATTATTTTTAATGAGATGCAAACATGGAACCATTTTTTCTTAGAAAAAAAAACAGTAAATTGTATGTCTTTCTTTATAGATTAGCTTTTAAAACTCATGGGTCTTTTTGAATGTGCCTCCATTGAAATGGTAATTCCATATTGTTTTTAAGAAATTTAATTTATACTAAGATTCAATTAGTTACTCACACATAATTAAAACATAACTCTAACCTTGTTTTAACATTTATCTATTTTGTAATCATTTTCTACTCGAGAAAATGAATGCATAATAATTGAAGATAGACTTAGAAATTTTTATTCCGGTCGTAAGTCTTTACCTCGAGCATTATTCAACTGCAATCGGGCGATTTTTCTACTTTTCATGTCGATTGATTGCAATCGTTTTTTATATCTATTTTTATCAGTATAACTAAATATTTTCGATACATTGATTACATTAATCCCTGAAGGCTTATAGCACGATTGCTTTCTCCATGGCTGACTAGCGACATATTCTATCACATCGAAGTGTGATGATAGCGACAAGCTCACTATCATTATTATTGGTCGATATTTCTTGACAAATATAAATCAATCAATGTTTATGTGAGTTTTTGTTTGATTGAACGATTGAACGATTTCAAAAAAGAAAATGCCGTATGCAAATCAACCAACTGTTCAAGTGACTGATCTAACTGATGAGAATATTAAATTTATCATTGAAAACACAGATTTAAGTGTAGCTAATGCAGTACGACGTGGAATGATCGCTGAAACGCCAACAATAGCGATCGACTCAGTACAGATTGATTCGAATACAACAGTTCTATTCGATGAATTTCTTGCACATCGTGTTGGGCTAATTCCATTGTATAGTGAAGAACTGGTAGACAAAATGAATTATCATCGAGATTGTTTATGCGAAGGTTTTTGTCCGCAATGCTCTGTGGAATTCACACTCGATGTACGCAATAGAGATGAACAAACAAGAAATGTAAGAATGAAAAGAACCTAACGATTCTATTCATTCACTTTTCTGTTAAGGTAACATCAGCAGATCTCATTACAAGTAATCCAAATCTGGTTCCAGTAACATCCAAAGCGAAGAACGATGATGAAGGGCAAGATCATTTTATCGAACGTAAGTTCTTGAACACTTGTATACGAACGAGAAAGCTTTGGATTATTAGCGTCGCTGATTTCTAACTCAATTAGGGTGAAAAGAAAAAGACAAAATCAGAACGCATATTATTCCATTAATTTAGAAATAGAAGTGAAGTAATGGACGTCGAAAAAAGAGCGAGAATGTGTGAATTGATAATAAACATGTGGTGCAGAGGAACAGAAAAAAGATAGAGCAGTAGTAAAATCAAGAAGAAGCAAAGGTCATATCTTGTTCCGATTAGATTATTTCCCTTTTTCAAGTCTATTATTTCTCTACATTTGAAGTTGAATTGCATGGTAAAGACCACAATCTGTTTTTCATTATATTTGGCTCGAAGAGTAACCTTACAACGTACATTGTTTTTAGATATTCTTATTGTTAAACTACGGCAAGGTCAAGAGCTTCGTCTAAAAGCTCATGCACGAAAAGGTTTTGGTAAGGAACATGCTAAATGGATTCCGACTTCTGTAAGTATTATGTTTTTTGTTAAAATGAAAAGTGAGTTAAAATTTTTTCAGGGTGTTGCATTTGAATATGATCCAGATAATATACTTCGTCATACTATTTATCCAGTGCCAGAAGAATGGCCACATTCAGAACATACTGGTAAATAGAATAGTTTACGACTGGAATGAAAAATACTCTTTGAAAAAAAAACAATACTTTAGAATTAGCTGAGCATGAACATGAAGCAGCATTTGATCTTAATAAAGTTCCCAATAAATTCTTTTACAATGTCGAATCGACTGGTACACTTAAACCTGAAACAGTATGGTTTCTTATTTAATGTATGAATTTCATATAATTTCTTTTATTTATTAGATTGTTTTATCTTGTTTAAATGTTCTGAAACAAAAACTGAGTAATTTACAAACATTACTTAAACATGAAACATTAGAAGGATTGTAAAAAAGAGAAAAGAAGAAAAACAAATTCATTTTTGTGTTATAAAAAATGAAAGTATTGTTGTTTGTTGCATATGTTGTTAATATTCTAGATTTTCAATTTATGAAATAAGATGTTAATTAGAATAGTTTATGTACTGCCCGATAAATTGTAATGGTATCAACAGGATAAATTAAATTTTCGTTTTTCTTTCAATTAAAAATGTCCGATCGAAAATCTAATGGACCATCGTCATCTGTTCAGCGATCAATATCATTGGATGAAGGCGAACAAATACATGGAAGAAAACGAGAAAGTGATGATCAAGAATCTACTAGATTTTCACCTCATACAAGTAAGTGAAATAAGGTTCTAGTAGAATCAATAGAAATGAATGTCTTTTTTTTGTGATCGAAGGTCATACAGCGGTAGTAATTCGACCAGAGGAAACTTCTCCATCGTCAGTAATTCGTCAATCAAATTCTTCCATGTCTGACTTCAATCGATCACGTTCAAAAGCAACATCAACTGCTAGTACGACACCGGAATGTGAAGTGTCATCAACACAAACAACTGGTTTTAATATTCTTCAATCAATCAAAGATTTAACGCATCAAGAATTAAATCGTGCTAATCCATTAGGCCTTCTTGGTAAAGAAGTTATATCAGCAACCGGGACGACACATTGCCCAGAGCCTATTCCACCTCGCGAATCCGATGACATACCGATAACGCATATACGAACAACATCATCATCATCATCATCGATGTCGCCAATCGATGATAATGAACCGCAACAATTACATTTTCCATTAAACGAAGAAGAAATAGTTCAAATGCAACGACGCCGTTCAATGTTATTAAATACGACTGATGTTACACTTCCACCATGTCCAGCGGAGTTTATGCCAATGAACGACGATGAAGAAGTACAGCAAGCGCATCTTTTTTCTCAGCCATCACCCGGTACTATGGTCGCCGATTTCATACCTGATACAATGACAATCAACGTTTTTGAAGTATTTATTTATGCTTGGGGTGTATTTGCATTTTTCTTTGATATGGTAACTGATCTTGTTTTGGCACATGCATATTATTTAGAAGGTGCCTATTGGCTATTTATATTAACATTAATGTGTGTTATATTACCCAATCTGACCTTGTCGGTATTTTCGCTGGTATGGTATATGGATAGTAGTCAATTGAAAGCAGCTGCTAATGATCAAACTAAAACTCACTATGAAATATCTCATCAAACAACATTTTCTCAAACGGAAGATTTAATAGAAAATGATACGACAGAAGATCAAGTCGATGCTCATATATCACGTATAAGACATCCACCACAAAAGCCTGAAGAAGAAGTCAAAAGAAAAACTTTTCGTTTATCATCAACGACTGCTAATATATTTACATGGATCATACGAATTGTTATTCTTGTACTTCAACTTGATTTATGTCTAAAGCAAGTATTTATTCTTGAACTTCTTCTATTATTGATGAATTCAAAATTGTTTAGATATATTCGTGGTTTATACTATACATGGAAAGGTTTTCAAAAGCGTCATAATCCGAAATGGAAACGATTTTATCTAACGAAACAAATTTTAATCGATGCTGATATTGCCCTACTGCGTGTATTTGATTGTTTTATGGATTCAGGTTCTCAAGTTATCCTACAATTGTATATTATGTTACGACTTGGTTCGACATCCATGAAATGTAAGTCTGTTAAGAAACCATTTTTAATATAACTCTTTGTGTTCAGTTGATACTCTATTTGCAAAACAATGTTTATCAATTATTTCATCGCTTGGTTCATTAGCTTATGCGTTAAGCGGTTATTCAAGATGTTGGAGACATATGCAATTGACACATTCACCACATGGTTGGCCCAAAGGAAAATCTCCTCCGCAGCTTGTGTCTTGGTGGAGTACAATTATTCAATGGGTATGCAATTACAATTTCCTGAATAGATTCTTCATAACTTTCGAATCTTATTCTTTCCTCTTAAGTTTTGGTATCTATTTTTAATAACACCAAGAGTCTTAGCACTGGCAATGTTTGCAGCAACTTTTCGTTCCTGGTTTTGGATTATTCTTGTTGGACATTGGTTTGGAATGCTTTTTTGGATACTTCGTTTTGTAAATATTTTTATATTTAAATCTTTTATGATTCTGCTTTTTCTTGTTTCTACATCTAGCGTACAATTTTTTGTATCAGTGATCAAACAAAATATAATCCACGAGAAGCAATTTTTGAAAAATGCTACAATCTTGTTTGTTCATACATATTTATATTTTGTTATATGGTATGTGTGATAGAAGTTTCGAAGTGTTTTTCATAAATTACTTCCTCATTTCTATTTAGAATCTACGCAAAGGCGATACACGTTTACATTACATTGGTTTCTACACAATTTATTATATTGAAAATGTTTCATTTTCAATTATTTATGCAATTCATTCGGCTGAAACGAATTCTGTATTGAAATATTCTCTTGTTACATTTGTTTGTGTTGGCTTTTGGTTTGCTGTTTTCTTTCAATTTATTTATTATCGTTTTCTACATCCAAGTGATCATGTGCGTATCAGTACAAAACATAATGTTGCATCTATAGCACGCATACGACCATTGCCTAATTTTAATCGTATGAAAAAATCGAAGTCATGCGAAGAAATGATCGACGAAAATGATGTACAAAATCAAAATGAAAATAACGACCTTAGTGAAGCCATATCATTACAATTCGATTCGAATCCGATTAATGAACGATGGCATAATCGTTTTGCAAAAGAAAATCGACAAAAATTAATTTCACAACAACAAGCGATCGATCAAAAAGTTAAATTAACAAAAGCACAAAAGCAATTGGTATGAAATAGTTTTGAATAACTACAGAAAGAAAACTGATCCCACCTGAGAGCAACTATTTCTCCATTGAGAAGAAGGTTCAAGAGGAAAATCGATTATTATGAGCACTCGGTTCACTTCCGGTTGATGGATTGTCAATGCAGCGTAGCTAGAGCACATCGATACAATGACACCCTTATTCTTTGCAAGACTAGAAATGTCCCTGCTCTATTTTGTATTAAAAAATTCTATATTTTAATCGTCTAGGAAGAATCAACGAAACGTCAACAAAATCCATCACAAGGAATTTTAAGAAAATTATCTTCAAGTTTCAAACGATCACACAGAAAATCAGCGCCTACTCCAACTGATAATAACGACAATGAAAATAGAACTACAACTGATAATCATTCGACTAGTATTGAACCTCGTAGTTTTCGACTTCAACCATTTTTTAATGTATCACGTGTTGCTTTGACGCGCACGCCTCACCAAGAATCGTACGCCAAAATGCAACAAGAAGATGACGAAGATTGTGATAAACCATATATTGCTTACATATCAGATAGACGAACTTCGCAATATCATCAACAATCAAACATGTATAATATTGACGAAGATTTACCTACACCAGATAAAAATTTCAATAATATTTGTTCACATATGAACCCTACGAATAATGAAGATGGAGAAGAAATGATTTTAACTGCAGCAAAGCTGACTCCATTAATAATACCTTCTACGACATTTGATGATAACGCATACATATCATCAACACCTATAGGCAATATTTCTCGATGTTAAATGTTAATATATAGTTGCTCTATTCGATTTCACTGATGGTTTCATTTTGTTTCAAGCATTCTGTAAAACAGTGAACACATATTTTGATTATGTCAAATTTTCCTATCTCAATCAGCGCAATAATCTTTCATTTCATCAATTGTGATTGTTAAATTTTTTCTTACATTTCAATCGTTCATACATAGACTAGTGTAAGATATGAAGCTTAAATGATACTTTATGTTTATCATATTTTGTTATTTTGGTGTTGATCAGCTCACATCTAGTCGAAATTTTGCTCAAAAAAATATCATCTAAGGAATGCATGGCACGGCGCTCTCATGTTTTTGCCGTTTTTTTTTCTTCGTCGAATGTTGTCATTTTTTTTCGTATATTTTTGTATATGTAGTTATATGTGTTTATTAGAGAGTAATGTAGAATTGGTTTTCATCGAATACACACGCAAAGCTATTTGTATTGTCTATATTGATAATGTAAGTAAGAGTAGAAACATTATTTTATTTGTATTTTACAATAAAAATTATCCAGATTTTCATATCAAAATATAGCTGAAAACGTGATTGCAATCCTTGCCGGAGTAGTTAAGGAAATGATTTTTTGTTGCTGTTTAATCAGTATTTATTGTCGTTGAAATGGGTTGATAAAAAAAATAAATCTAAAGATTATTGCAGTGGATCTACTTTGAATCGATCTCTCCTAGTTAACATTCATCTACAATGCTCTACCGAGATACAAAAATGTATGAATATCCCATTTTCACTATGAACCGGCTACAAATCCTTCTAGATTTGGAGAGGAATTCACAACTATTCACGTTATTGTAGGCTTCTGAGAATGTGGTGAATAGAAGGTCTTCTTTTTCTACAATCACACACTCGATGATTTCTTTTCTATTCATCAAAATATAATGACGTTTCTTTTTACGATTTTTTTATTAAAGATTAAAATAGGACGTGCAGCCACACACTCGATGTAAATAAAAAAATAAATGTTTTTTATTTTGTATATATGTATCAAATATTTGGAATAAGACAAGGGAACGTTTTAATAAATAGATTGAAGAACATGACGAAGACCACTCGTATCCATATTGAGTAGTTGACGATTTCGATCGGTTTCTGTGCTTGGTGTTATTTCTGTATTTAAACGACGTCGCGTCTCTAGCGCTCGGTTTTCAAGCATAACTGAATTTGATTTAACTGCTATTTCATCTTCAATTCGATGTAATTGTTGTTGAAGAATGTTCCATGCGTGTCTAAAAGAAAATTTATTACAATTTTTTTCTCTTTGAATCGATTCTCTTTTACTTGGTTTGTTTTAATCGATCTTCTAAAGCACGTTTTTCAGCTGTCAATTGTTGAATTTCATCGCATAACTGAAATTTCGGGTTATAAATAGATTGAAAAAAAGAAAGAAAAGCAAATAGACATACTCCATAGGTAACTTCGTCACGAACTAAATCCATTCCTGGACGACTATGACGATTTTCTTGTCGAGACATCGCTAATTTAATTAATGGTTCTTTATCTAAATGAAAAACAGGAATATAAAATTTGTGTTTTTGAAGAAAAAAAGCAAACAAGTTTTTTGTTTATTACCTCGAACAGCTTTTTCCAAACGATCAATATCATTTTCATTACTAAGGATTTCTTCTTCTGTCTAGAATAATAAACAAATAAATAATTTAGAAAAAAACGTTCTTTTTTTTAAAATTTTTGAATGAATGCTAAATACTTGTTTCTTTTGCCATTCAAGCTCTCGAAGTGATCGTTCAAGTTCATGAAGACGTTTTCGTAATGCATATTCACTTGCTTTACCCTGTGATTCGAGATCCGATGATGATTGCCCAATAGTATGAAATATACTTTCACGAAGACGTGTTGATTCATAAACTAAAAATACGCAAGAATAGAAGATTTCAATTGCTTCTTTTCATGAGCATACTTTCTTTTTCTGCACGATCTTTATTATATTTTGAAAATGCTACCCATTCTTCTGGCGTTATTTGTCCTTTGATTGGTCGACATGCATCAGGTTTATAGCCAATATTTGGTGAAAATTCATTTAATTGAAGATTTTCTTCACAGATTGCGAACGCCGTATGTTTATCTTGTAAGTCCTGAATTTCATAAAACGTAGGAAAGATGATTTGTAAAGAAGGAAAATAGGTACTCGAATTAACTGTTGTTTAGCTTCAGTGAGACGAGCAATTTGATCAAATGCTGTTTGCACTTGTTGATGAAGTTGTCGTTTAATACCATCGATTACATAAACTTCCTTAAAAGAAAATACGTATGTAGATTTATTTAGTCGTACACAAATGCTGCACTTTTTTCAATTCACGCTCAGCTTCATCATCAACATTATCGATTGCTTTACGACCATCACGGGTAACATGATTTTCCAATGTAATATCTATAAAAATATTTTGTATTATCAATAAAAAAAGGGTACGATGACAGAGACTAAAATCTACCTAATGGACTTCGCATATGTTCAAGATATCGTTCACATTGTTCTTTAACAGATTGCATAGTTTGAACTTCTCGATCAACATCTTGAATTGTATATTCAAGTGCTTTACGCCATTTATCTACTTCATCGAGTCGATTCGAAATTCGCACATCACTGAATAAAAATAAACAAGCAAAATTTTCCTTCTACAAGAAATACATAATATTAAGTAAACGTACTTATCATGTTTATTCCACCAGGATTCATTGTACGTTTCATTGATTAACCGACGGCCATCTTGCCGTACTTGATGTGATACATTTCGACTACGTTCGGCATCATAGGATATCGCATAACTATTAGAAAACTTACGGTTTTTAGATAGATTTCATGAGAATAAAAGAGTACTGACTTATGATTGAACCAATCTGGTACATTATATTTAGCTCGTGGTTTTTGTTCTAGTGTTGGATGAAAAGTATGAACGGTTACTTCCGATTGTGACTTCAATGGTTTAGAAAGCGATTCAAATCCACTCATGGTCAAAACTGTCGAACCAAACAAAAACAATACAACAACAGTAATGGCAGCAATTGATTCTTAGTGAACATCTAAGTTATGTTTGTTTGCCATTTCTACTCGCATCTCTATGGATAACCCTGGCAACTAGGGAGTTCTATTGGAAAATTATTTATCAAGAAAAGATCATTATAATCAAAGGTGTTTCTATCGCTTTCATATTTTTATAGATTTGAGTGTGTAGGTGAACAGTAGAAAGAGATGTCGCTAAAAACCATTCCTTGTCGATGTTTTTGTCGAACAGACGGTAAATACAATACCGATCATAGTGATATCCTCTCTTGGGAATGAGAAAAAAAAGTAGACTTTGAATTAAAAAGAAAGAAAATTATCGATTTATTTCATTTATAAATGATATCCAAAAGTAAGGACGAAGCTATCAAAACACGACAGGTACAATGGTGTCGTTGTGTTTTAGAAAAATATGTGCCTGCGAGAGATCTCGGACCAGTCGACAACAGCCATAAAGCTATTCAAGAACATTTCATTGCGTTTTGAAAATTACATTCAACTGATTCGGCAGATCTATGAAATATAGTGAACATCATATGTTCATGTTGCTCATAGGTCTTATCTCAAAAAGTCTTCCCGTATTTCAGCGCATTATGTTTCGAGGCATTCTTCTTATTGTGAATAACGAGTGGATGGAAACAAAAGGTCTGGTTCTAAATATCATGTATCACCCCATATATATATATATATATGTGTGTGTGTGTAAAGGCAAATAAGAACAAGGCAGACACTATGAAATCCTAATGTTTAAATGTTACTTTATTAATTTCTTAATCGAAACAAAGTGAATTATATAGCTAACGTAATTATCATCTAGGTGACAAATCGATGAGATTACTGAAATATGATAAAAGTGAAAGCGAATGTTGACTGTAATCAGTATTTTTTCTGAAAAATAATCTTGTTTTTAAAAGTAGACTGCTTCTGAAAACAGAACCAATGCAAACAATTTGTTCAAGATATTTAATATATGTCAAGTCACTTTATATTTCAATATTGAAGGTAATCAATATTCATGATATACGTCGATAGAAAGGATTTTGATGAAATCTGAGAAGCAGTGTGCTGACCAAACACTGAATATTTTGAATAAAGCTTAATTCAGTGAACTAACAAGAATTTTGTTTTACGGTAATTTAATCGATTCCATATGCGAAAATAAGGGAGTATTGAGTGCTCTCAGCATTATTTGAGTACAACTACCTTGGTGATTTTTAGACAAAATTTTGTTTTATTGGTTTGCCCTCTAGTGAGTTTTAATCAGCCTTTTAGATAATGCTGCGCAAGGCATCATGGGCTTTCGATTCAGAGTTTATTCGCATACGTATTCGACGTCTTCTTGTTTTATCGCGTGATAGGAATTAGTTTTGCTATTTGCTAGGTAAGATCTATTAGTAATGCACTTATGTAAAACACATCTCGAAAAACATACTCATATCGTTAAACAAATATCAATATTATTACACATTAAGATGACAAAAATGGTTGTGGTTGCTGTACCGATGACGTGTTCTTGAGCATAGAATGCCTAAACTTTCGTTGTCTTACTCATTTTTATCGAAAAACAAGATGACAAGAAAATTGCTCGATACTACCTACCTGTACGTATATATAAAGTGCTAGATAGTGAGAGAAAGAGATATCCGTGAATTATTATTATATGCGAAGACTGCTATTCTGACTTATACTCATGACACAACTCTCTACCATATTATACCTGATTACTTTGTCTATCGTAATCGACCATGTTCGATCGATATCGAGTCCTCTACAACCTTTCATTGCATATCAACATTCGGTAGAATTAGAGAAAGATGTAGCCGATCTCTGGTGGACCATCGACAGTGCCAAAAGAGAAATCACATTCGAATTACATATCAAAACAATAGGCTGGATTGCATTGGGGATCAGCCCAGGTAGATTTTTCTCGTTGCTAAATCTGAGTTATTGATCTTTTTGTTTCATTCAGCGGGTGGTATGATAGGTGCTGACATCGGTGTAGGTTGGGTCGATCAAATGGGTCATCTCTATTTTCAAGTAAAATAAAGTTATCTGTATATTGTCACGTAAACTATAACCTGTCTATTTCAAGGATCGATATGCATTTGGCAGAACGCGTCCTATGATCGATAATACCACCATTGATTGGTTCGGCCTTCAAGGCCGCGAATCAAGCGGATGGACAGCGATTCAATTCAAACGTTTACTAGACACATGTGATGTCATGGATGTTGAAATCAAGGTAATTTTCATATGTGTAGTGTCGCTAATTATGAGTCGAAAAATATTATGCAAATCTGCAGTTTTGTGTTGTATGGAGTAATTCTTTGTTTTTTACTCATGTTAGATATTCATAAGGGATTTTTTAAATAATTATAACATTATTTTCGACCTATTCATCTGATTAAACAATATTTAGTCGGGCACCAACAATCTTATTTTCGCTTATGGTTTGGCCGATCCCGATCCATCTGGACCTAATGGTGAAATATCTTATCATGATTCTCGACGTGGCTCACGTGCTATTCCACTTCAATCATATGCTGATCCACCATCTGAAGATGTTTTTGCTGGACTTGACTTCTTTGAATTTCGTTTGAATAATGTATGTTCTATGACAAAATTTTATTGTAGGGATTGTTATGTTTTGTTTTCATTGATTTAATCCTCTTTTCAGTATGTCGTGCCACCAGCTGAAACAACCTATCATTGTAAAATCTACAAAGCCCCTAGTCAATATTCAGTCAAACGTCATGCGATTGGTGTAAGTATAACTTGCGTATGATAGATTTCATCTTTATCTCCTCTTTTTTGTAGCACAAGACACTAATTGGTGCAGGCAATCATGACCTTGTTCATCATCTTCTTATGTATGAATGTGATTCAACAGCTGTATTCGATGATAACAATTTGCCTGATGATGAGTGTGATAAGATTTATCAGAAAGTTGGACCGTGTGCATCTAATATTGCAACTGGTTGGGCTGTTGGTGGCGATTATGTAAGATAGAAAATACTTTTTGAAATAAAGCAAAAAACAAAATTGTGAATGTAGATGATTGGATTTCCAGAAGAAGCTGGTTATCCAGTTGGAGGTAATTTTCACATCAAATACTATATGGTACAAATGCATTATGATAATCCAAACCTACTCTCGAGTATGAAATTCAATTAATATTTCATTATAAATCTACATGATATTTCATTTAGATCGTACCGATAGTTCAGGTATTCGATTTTATCTTGGTAACAAACTTCGTCAATATGATCTTGGCTATTTGACATTTGGCACTGATTCAAGTGCTGTTGCTTTGGCTATTCCGCCGAAAGCGGAACGATTCGTTGTCGATGGGTACTGTACAGCGAACGCTACACAGGTAAAGCAGGAGTTGTTTTTGTTTTCGTTTTTATCTAATAAATTCATAATAAATGCTGTTGTAGAATTTTCCTGAAGAGGGTATCACAGTTATCTCTACTTTTCCGCATACGCATTTACAAGGTATATTTGAAACTAAAAAAAATCTATGAATTCGATTCTAATGCTAATGCTGTTTTTCCTAGGTCGAACAGTGTGGACAAAAATAATTCGAAATAATACAGCTGTAGACTATCTATTCAATGCAGAAGCATATGATTTCAATTACCAATATGAAAATCGTTTACCCAACCGAGTCAAATTATATCGAGTAAGAGAGACTCAAATGTTTCATCACATGTGAACTGATGTTTCTCTTGAAGGGTGATGAGTTTGCTACAAGATGTATCTACAATACTATGAACAAGGATGTGATCACTCTGGTAAGAAAGATTCTATGGGCAGATTTTTGTTTTTCGTAGAAGCAAAAATGACAAACGAGAATCTATTTGATTTCTGCAGGGTGGCGAAAGAACGAAAGATGAAATGTGTCTTCATATGGCGACATACTATCCTCGAATGGATAATTTATACGGCTGTATGACAACAAATAGTCCGGATGCATGGCTTGCTAAGATGAACAGTTCTTCGTGAGTTTGTTCAAGTCGCTAACCAGTTCTCACTTTTATTGAAAATACATTTAGACCGTTCGATTATAATCAATTACAAGAATGGCTTCAAAGTTTGAAATGGACACCAGAACGAGTTGCAGAATGGCAAGAATTCTACAATACAGTTCCTCGCATAGCTATATATGGTGCAGCACCAAACCTTCAGCTCAATCCTCTTCCCAGAATTCCTGAATATAAAGATTTGAAACCAGTGATATGTACAAGAGATCAAACGACTCCTGGCCAAAGCCCAGCAACACGTACAACTGCTAGCCAAGGTTCAACAAAGCCGACAACTGTTGCATTTAATTCTGCAGTTCGTCAAAATGTACTTACATTTTTTCCTTTGATTTCAATTGTGATGAAAATTATAATTAGTTGATCAATAAAATTGATTTAAACAAAACATATTTGACAACAAATACAGATTGTACTAATGTATTTATCTTTGAAGTAACAGACTAAACATCAGCATGAAATTTGTAGGCAAAGTTTTGCAAATTCGTTGAACTTTAGAATAATGAGTAGCTATTTTATTCATGTTATACAATTTCATAGAGTTCATATCGCTTCACACGAGTATTGTGAAATTTACTCAGATCGAGTTTTTTTCTCAATATTGATTATGCTTAGCTGATAGAAAAGATCGATAGGGATACACTAACGATTGGACGAAAACAATATGGTTCTTCCTGAAAATACAGCAATAATGCTGGCATCAGTTTGAGTAGGATGTTCTCCTTTTTTGTTTATTGTATATTGAAAAAACGATTCACAAAGCATACGATAAATACTTAGAGAAAAGTAAATCTATGTATTTTAGCGACATTTAACGCGAGTCCTGTCATTTGCAAGATGTTTGTTGCGGAGTTGAATGTCCACTGGCCTGTTGGTTGTAATTCTTGCCCGTTCCATAAAATTCTCGTTGGTATTTGATTCATACCAAATACTTTGATGTCCTCTAATTTAATTGTATCACCCATTTCTGGATATTTATATGCCCATGGATCAATGGTTAAAACTTTTGATTTAAAAACAAAATTAAAATGATTGTACATCCCTCGGTTGTAAGTATCAATCGATTCGCCATCATCCCAAAACAATTCACCAGATGCTTGTTGATCCTTATCTAGTGCCACAATAAGGTACAGTGGTTTCTTACGGGATTCTACAGTATTCATAGCCGACTGTTGATGAGGAATTATTGAACCACCACGTAAAAACAATGGTATAAAATCATATGGTGCTGCAACAGTTGTTTGATTCAGTGCTTTCATTTCTTCACCCGTATAATAATTAAACCAACGTTCCGTCCAAGGTAAATAGACAGATTTAGTGGTGTGATTTTCTTTAATTACAGGAGCAATGAGCAATGATGAACCCCATAAGAATTGTTCATCAAGTGGCCAACAGTCTGGAATGGTTGGAAAGACATGGGCCATTGAGCGTACAACGGTACCACCGGAGATATGAGCACGAAAAAATAATGAGTACAAATATGGTATGAGAGTATATCTTTGTTCAACTGCACGACGATTCGATGCGACTACATCTGGCAAAAAAATTCCAGGATCTTGCTCAATAAACTTGATACCGTCTTGGTTGTTGCCATTATGATTTCGAAAGAATGGATTGAAAGAACCTAAGAGATTTAATTTGATCAAATTATTAGTCCCTCTAACGTTTTTATGGTAAAACAAAACGGTTTCAGTTCAATTTATGCGGGGCAAAAATAACTGAGAGCACATTTAGTATGGTCTCCATAGGAATCGAATAGTGAACATGCTGAGGAATTGTCGAAGCTGGTAAAATCCTCCATTAATCATATCCAAATCAGTTTCAATATTCTCAATGTTTAAAATACAAAAAAAAACAATTCTTCAAAATCGAAATTTTCAGCATTCTACTATTTGAAAATACTACGAGATGAATCAATTTTTTCCGTGCGCCCATACAGTCTTTTAATAAAAGCCTGAAAAAAAGCCAAAATTCTGATACAAACCTAATTGCATCCATCGTTGACACATTTGCTCTGTTGTATTTTGAAAGAAGCCACAAATATCAGCACCGATATAGGGAATACCGAATAAATTGAATTCTAGCATTCCAATAATGTTGTATTTAAGATGTTGCCAATCGGCTGTATTATCTCCCAGCCAATGACCCGTAAAACTACCAGAAGTCGGAAATGTAGATCGACTAATCACAATCGATCGTTTATTTTCTATGCTACGTGCAGCTGGCAATGTAGCCATAGTCTCTGACCAACCATACAGATTGTGAACATCATAATGTGTATAGGTTTTGCCTCGGCCATCGGTTTGTTCAGCAATCATGCATAAAGTTTTATCAGATATATAATCACCACAAATAGCTGTTTTATATTGTGGATTGTCTAAATGTTCGCCACTATCGTTACAAAAAAGATTCCACGATTCGGGCCGGAACACCGTTGTATTCCAATTCCACGGTTGTAATTTGTTTGTATCAAAATTAGCTGGTTCACTACAATCATCGATAGACATGGTAGTGAAAGCAAAACGAACAATGAACTATCAAAGCGACTCTTACTTCATATCAATCCAAATACCATCAAATTTCAGTTGCTTATGATAATCAACAATTTGTGATTTCCACCAATCGAAAGCGGGCGGATAGAAAAAATCAGGAAACACAGTTTTTCCTAAATTATATTAAACAAAGAAGAATGATGCGTTGATGCTCACATAATAATCATCGATCTCAATGAAAAGCTTTGCTTCCCCTTTTTCTTTTATTACTATTTTAAATGACTGTTTCGATATATGGAAAACTTCGTATTCGTTTACTGTGATACTACTTAAATATATCAGAAACAGAAACAAAATAATTCGCAAACCATCAGGCCAAACATAGCCGAGCATGTTTCGATTTCCAGTTTCATTAAATTGAACATTTTTACGGGCAGGCCATTTAATCCAGATATCAGCCTTTTGTCCTTCATCAAAAGCGGAATAATCTTTTTCTTCGGAATCAATAGCCGGATCGAGAATTGTAATAAATTTCATTCCTTTTTCATGTAACCAATCGACGTATTCAGGTAAGCCATTAAAATCTTCTTTATTCCATGTGAAATCAAGTCTTTTTCGAAAATAATCAATATCACCATAGCTAGAAATGAATTTCAAAATAAAACTATTCGTTCTTAAAATCAAGCATTTCATACTTACTGAACATCAATAGGAATACTTGCATTGAGCGTTCTGAACATGGCTGCTTTCATATTGTCAAGTTTGTCATAACCATACCGGCAAAGTTGAAATCCAAATGCCCAATACGGAGGTAAATATGGATTTCCGATAATACTTTGGTATTGTCGAATAACTAGTTCCGGTGTTGGTCCTGAGAAAACGAACACATCTAAAATGCCGCCAATGGTTCGGTAAGTAAACATTGCTTTTTCGTCATCGAATTCATCGAATTTATAATCTTGTGCATTTGAATTAAAGATAAATACACCAAAAGCTTCTCCATTAGGTTCAATAACCATGTAAAATGGATGCGTACCATACAGATTTTCATTGACTCCTGAGGGTGGTTGATCTCGAGCAAAAATTCCATATCGATTTGACTTATTCAGCTCATGACGAAAAGATGGATGAGTATTTTCACCGAAACCTATGTACAAAGAACAATATTTCGAATGAAAATAGTTTTCGATAATTATTTACCATAGACATTTCTAGATGGAATTGTTGTTATTATTTGGAGAAATTGATCATCATAGATGAAACCATTGGCAAATAATGTTGTGTCGAACAGAATCGATCCTGAATTTGTACGTTTCACTCGAAGTCCAACTTGTTGATTCGTTGTTTTGGTCATTTCAAATTCGATCTTTGCTGGACCACTTGTTGTCGGAGCTGATGGATTCCATCGAATCGGAACAGGAACTTCGTATCGTTGTGAATCTGCATTACGTATAGTCATACGTATCATTTGAGGACCGGACACACTAACTTGAACCTTTAAATTTTCAATATCGTGACCAAACATGGAAAATTGAGTTGCTGCTCGTGCAGCACGACTCGGATTAATAAACGACGAGCGAAAATGCGCTGGTTTGGTTGAAAGGCGTGTTAACGTATACTGTGTCATGGCAGATGAAAGTTGTGTTGGGCCATCTGTCACTGAATAACCACCTTTTTCCGTTGGAATATAACAAGTAGGAATGCCCGACTCAACATTCGTATCCCATGTACATCCACGAGATGTACATGATTCATTTGATGTAGTTAGTTTGTTATCTGTTGAAAGGTTAAGAACACAGAAAGATCGGTACTCATCAATGTCTGGATTGCAATCAACTCGGTATTTAGGATCGACTTTCATGAAGTTAGGCAGTTCGACAGTTCTAATTGATGCACTTTGCCATGAATTCATAGGCCTTCCACTTTTTTCTATCACCAATCCTTCCACTTCAACATTGAGTTGAATTGCTAGTCCAACAAGAACAGCAATTAAGGCAAGAATCCGCATTTCTTGTAATGGATGATTCAATGTTCTGCAATTATTCGAAGAAAATACAATATAACTACGGCTTGTACGAAAATGATTATGACTACGGATGTATGTAGACCTTGTTCTCTTTCATATTAACGCGCACACACTTCGAGGTATCTGTAACTTTTCGTTAAAAGAAAACAAATGATTGCATATTTATTCCTTAGTATTCTTATCTGTAGTAATTTAAGACGTGCGGATCATTTTTGTAGAAAAAAAGAAATAAAAATTTGATACATATGAATATTATCGAAAAGATAAATAGCACTCATAGTGTATCATGTCTCAAAAATCCAACTAAAAAACTAGATAAGAGAAACTCTCGTGATAACGAAAATAAATGTAATAATGATATTCTCTTGATCTATGTGTTTAATCTCCCTTTCAATATATTAAATTCAAAGCTGAGTATGAGTCACATCAATTACTATTTACTTGTCCTATCCTTAGCCGCTTAAATGCATTCTCTCGTTTCATTGGATTAGAAGATTTACTTTTGATAGCAGAATATCGATATCAATTTACAGGAAAATATCTTATGATTTAACTGCAATGCTTAATACTAGTACTTACTTAATCTAATTGTCAATTTCTATTCCAATGTAACATGGATTCCGATTAAAGTTGAATAAGATATACGCCTAGACGCCTTTATCGATTAAACGATGTTGAAACAAAAGAAATACTTTCTATGTACATTTGATTTTTGCGATTCTACTCACAGAAACTTAACTATGGTTCTAACCATGGAAGACTCAATTCTATTTCATGGAAACGACGAAGAAGACAGCAACTATCGAAAACTCTTCCGTATAAAACTTACATAAAGATCCGAGCCTTCATATTTGTCTATATTAGTTTCATTCATCTTCGATCGAAGAAATCAATGCTCATATTGATTTTAGCTTTATGAGCAATTTTGCAACAGAAACGCCCTTGATTACTGCTATACTCGACTAGAAATATGTTTTTAACGTTCTGTTTATTTCTCACAAAATTTGCGAGATTGAAAAGGCAGAATATTCATCGAATATGTCAAACGTTAAAATTAAAAAGAAATAAATCTACAAAAGAATGGAGTTCACTGAAACTAAAAGCTAAGCACGATTTTCTTTCTGAATATACGAGTGTGTTTATCTCTATTGAACATAGAACACGCCCTCTCATTGGGTCACCTGTTATAAACACGTAACTTTGAAAGAATTTAATATTGGATGTAGGCAAGAATTAAAATTTTCAACATCTAGAATCACAATAGCTCGTTTGTTCAGTCACAAAACAACTTATCCAACTGATGCGAATCACATTCGACTTAAGATTATGTAAAGCACGAACGTTCAAATGATCAATGAATTTTTGTAGTAGTTATAAATTACTCGCGTCTCTCTTGGTTCTATACAATTCATGAACCTTTTAAGATGTACAGTTGGGTCAGACATTCACTTTTTGAGCTTAGGATTAATAAGGGGAAAGAACTTTAATTAAAATTGCGTACAAACTTGCTCGACTATGAAGTAGTGCAGTAACACAGGTTATGTATTCTTGAATGAAAAATAAGGCAACGCCTTATATCACAACCAGGTAATAAATATATACGCTTTTTTTGTCGTTGCCCCGAAAAGGAATAGATTAGGCGCGCATCGTTATCAAAATCTGTTTTGATATTTTCAATACCATTTCAACAATAACAACAATCGTTAATCTTTTTCGACAACAAAAGACAGCTCATAGCAAAGAAAGATAAGTTTAGAAATAGACAGTTGCTTGTTAAATCTTTTCAAAGGGTCTCTCTAAAACTTAAGGTTAACATGTACTATAAATATTCTTGATAAATTGTGTAGATATTTGGTTTACTGAAAGCATGTGAATCTGAAAAACTGCATATCACATAATTTTTACTATTGAGAAGATTTCATGAGATTAATTTTCAAAAAAACCAGCTTTCGCACAGGCAAACTTTTCATTTTTACCAAAACCTATTTTAAGCGACGGTTACTTCCGTTTCAAAATGAAATTTCCAACTAGCCGTATATGATTCAATCTTGGAATTCTCATTTCTCGTAACTGCATCATACAGCGAAAAATAAAATTTCGTTGTGAAAAAAATGAAGATTCCATTTCAATCGATCGATTTAGGAAAATTGTACCTACCAGAGCTCCGCGTGGGACGTCCCATGGGACGAACATATTTAGAAAATTTTAAGCAGACAAGAAAGAATCGAAGTTTCTTTCGAGGCGATTCTATTATATGCTTACTATCTTTATCCATTAAAATTATATTTATTGGCGTAAGTGACCGCTTTCAAATTTTATTCTCACATTTTAAAACATTTCGGTATATGCTGTTCAATTTACCAAAACTACTTTTATGAAAAACCGAATATAAGCTTTTAAAATTCGTCTAAGACAACGATCTTAATTTTAATGGATAGAGATAGTATGCATATCATAGAATCATATCGAAAGAGATTTTGATTCTTTCTTGTCCGCTTAAAACTTTTTAAATATGTTCGTCCCATGGGACATCCCCCGCGGAGCTCTGGTACCTACATTTAGTGAAGATATATGAGTGGTTTACATTTATAGACATTAAACATATAAATTATACACTTCTTGATTATAGAAGATAGACGACATAGGCTGATTCATCCGGTGTTTATTTTTGCCTATAGCTAAATGAAAAGTTTAATGATATCGTCACATAGTTGTATTACATAAGCTTTTGTATTTTACTACTAAAGAAGAAATCTGGATCGATATCAACATGACACTAATAATAAAAATGAAAGTCGGCTGTCTTATCAAAAGACTACATTTGGATTTGGACTTTTGCTTCATACACTTGACAATACATTTTCTCTATCTAAAATCATTGAAAATGCGCGACATTATATCTACGTCATAAATCTTGCTTTTAAAGGATTTTTTATTTCTTCTTAGAAAGAAAGAGAAACCCTTCCCTCTAAATAGTTATTTTATGAATCTATCATTTCGATATTGTATAACTATATAGTATAGACACTAATGCGCATCGTTTACTTCAATTTATCCCTGTCTTACACAACCTTGCAGATTATGTCAGTTGACGGCTGTTATTTACTAAGTTTTAATGTGTTATTTTGTTTTCTGTTGCAGTGTAACACTAATTCTCGAATTTCGATCAAAACTCGAGAGTCATACTGACATCACGCGAGGAACTCTTATATCAGTACAAGCCAATCGGAAATTTATTTGATATTTATGCATACGAAAAAAAAGATTCAAATATTCTCGAAATTCGACCAGTTGTCAAACACAACATAATACTTTTAATGATTGAAATCAGTGCTATCAAGTTCTAAGAACTACACATTAATACCGGAGATTGTTTAAAGAATGCAAATATTTTTCGATTCTGATAAACATTAAAATTAACTAGCCCTTTGATAAAACTCTTTTTGTTTCAATATTTCGTGGCGAATCTATGGATTAAACTGTGTTTCCTATGCTAGATGATATTTACGGCGCAATCGAACTAATTGCAATACAACACTAAAATATTCTCCATATGGATACAATGATCCAAAACTACACAATCAATAAGAATATAGCTGACAACAATACCGTAGAAATAATCAACGGCTAAGGCAAAGGTCAATCATCAAAAATACTATCCAAAAAATAGAAAATTATTAACCAGAAATATCACCGTAATTAAGAACTATTCTCTTTCAATTTTGTTCTGCTAAGTTATTAGCGTTACGAAAAAAACGTGGGCACATATTGCTCTATAACCCTAGAGGCAAATGTATTTATGTTTTGAAATACCTCGACTCCTTGGCATCTCACAATTTAATTATTTACTATCATCTGTATTTTTTCATAAATCTCATAGGAAATCGACTCATAAAATTTTTCAAGAACATCAACAAAACATTTGCAATTTAAGTAAGTCAACTAACTATTGATAGGAAATTCAATCCTATTGATTTATTATGATTTACACCTTCACTCTAACCAAAATTACTTATCAAATGAATTCATGTGCTAGAGACACTCTTCATTTAACCGTTTCTTCATGTAGAACTAACAACAAACAAGATCAAGATGTACGGCACGTATTATTTTTCTTTTGTTTATATTTTATATTTGTCATAATATTTTTATAACACTTCTATTGTGATCATTATCACCAATACACTCGACAGTAAAATTATGACATAATTGCAAGGCGTCGCGCTTGGATTAAACTGATTTTGAGAGAAAACCTATAATAATCCACCCCTGTAATCCGAATTCGACTATGCCGTATCATTGTGATAGTTAAAGGTAAAGAAATTTGTGCACAGATACTCATCTTTATTAGTCGTGGCACAAAATAGAGTTGATATCTTTTTGATACATCGATTCGGAGCATTTTCTTTGATTAAATAAACTATGTCTATTGATCGCTACTCAATTTCCGAATTAGAAAACTCAATAAATATAATAATATTACTGGAAACAATATGCATTGGCGCAATGATCGAGCTATAAAACATTATTAATTCTAATCAAGATTTATTAAATCTGTTCTCAAGTAGTAAGAAAAAAACAGTAGCAAATGTTTTTTATTGATTGTTCATCTCTCGATTTCTTTTTATGATTGATTCTATATACAATATGCATTATGAGTGTAGCCGTTTTTCTTCTTCTTCTGTATGCAATTTGTCTTCATGAGAAAATTAGTCAGAATTTGAACACAAACCAATCGGTTAAAAACTCATAATAGAGTCACGAATACGACAGGAAGCATTCAATCATAAACAGTACACATAATCATAGACATCTAGTAGATAGAAAAAAAAAAACATTTTCTGGCGCATGAGTTTCATCAAATTATTGTTGCTGTACTTTGAAAAATAGCCTAGTACAGGATGTTTTAGAATGAAGAAGAAAAAAGAAGTCATCTCATTTTTCTCCTAAATATATTTTTATCTCTTGCAATAAATGCGAAGGAAGAGAAGAGAATTATAAACTGGAAATACCCAGGGGCGTTTGTTTGATTTGTTCTCAGTGACATATTTGTTTCTATAAATCTAAATACAGTATAAAGTTTCTCACACGCATTTATATATTCAATTAAAAAGAACTCTTATCTGCTGAAACTGAATACCTTTACAGATCTAGTTCAAAGTGTTACAAGAAAACAATGTATGTTAATAAATATTCGATTCTACTCATCCTCGTCATTTTTTCGCTTGGTAAATTCTAAATTCATTCTTTCTCCTAGATACGATTTATGTTCAATCCTTTTTAGTTCTATTTTGCTATACAAATGCCGATTCAAGTGAACAACAGGATCATTTAATTGATAGTAGTGATGAAGAATATGATGACTTAGTGGATCTTTACCATGGTGCGTCAATTCATCCTTTCCTTATCAATCAACGAGCATCACTTCGACCGTTTGCCGGCAAACGTGCATCACTACGCCCCTTCGGTAGACGGGCATCATTACGTCCGTTCGGAAAACGTGCATCGTTACGTCCATTTGGTAAGCGTGCGTCGCTACGTCCTCAAAGCTACGTGGGTAAACGGAAACAGCGAAGCATCATCTATGATGATGAATAAATTTCAAACAAGTATGGTTTTGATGTATTGATTTGTTTCTCTTGTATTAACAGCATCAAAGAAATAAAAGGAAATTCAATAAATTTATTTGAATATATATATATATATATATATGGAAATTTGTTTTATTTATCATAAAAAATCATTTCTTTTTTTTCGATCATTGCACAACAGAGGAACCAACACCAACAGGAAATATTGCAGCACCATATTGATCATTCGTGTTTGCCATGTTTACGAACTTTGGCTATGTTTATTTTTTGTTGTATTTTAGCACGTTTAGTTTTGTCACTACGTTCAATATCTTTAGCTAAACGAAATGCTAAATAACCAGATACGATAAACATAGGTGTTAAACATAGAAAAATATAATAGAGAAATTGCCACGGGTTCGTTGCTAATAAAAATGAAAGATAATTATGTTTTTTTGACATAAATAAAATGAAAATCTTTCTACCTGCATAAATAACGACATCCATAAACTTTTGATGCCAATCAATTGAAAACATGATATTAAAATGATACGTTTACACTTCGTTTCAAATAAAATAAAGAGAAGTTTAAAATAGATTATATTTGAGCTAAAGAATAAAAATTCACAATTCGGTAAACATCTATAATAATAAAAAAACCAAAGAGCATAGTATAGTTGATCCTACTATTTTATCATGGAGTATAGATTTTAGGAACAAGACGTATCTCTGCAATTTGCTTTGGTCAACAAAATTTATAAAAATCAAGTTTTTTACAATATTATAGAATGATCACTAGACTGGTGAATAATGACTAAGCACTTGTTTCTAAAGCTTGGATAATTCAACACACTTATGCATTGTGTAGTACACACGCTTTCTGCATATTAAATCTAATATATATATATAATGCATTTTCAATTTTATGATGAGAAAAAAATACATATATTGGGTGAATCTGTTTTTGTATAAAAGACTCATCATGGCTGAGAAGTTACGCCACTCGCAAAGTGTTTTCAAGAAGGATAACATTTGTGAAGATGAATTTAAAATATCTGAATCACTATGTTTTGTTGTTTTCTTCAGATTGTAATTTTTACTGTAAGCACCATAGAAATCAACCAGTAAGATGGAAAAGTTGACTATTTACTGAGTTGATAAAACTCACGACTACGCTTTAGTTAATCAACCTAAACACGATCTACTTAAATTTGTTGTTATTAGAATAGACTATTAAACGATACCATGCATCGCCTAATCAGTGTTTCTAATAGAAATCTGAAATAAAATGTTTTTCTACATTTTGTTTATGTAAAAAACGTGTATCTTCACCCTTTGATTTTATAAACAAAGTGTATCAAAGTGTAAATCAACGAAAAGAGTTCAGATAATCTAGAAAGATAATAAGAAAAATTCTTTTTTATCTGTTTCATAGAGAAAGAAAGTCACATAGATTATAAACAACCAAACAAGAGCATTACTAGGCGTTGCTGTTTTTTATCCAATATTATCACATTTAGTTGAATACTTTTCATTCATAGCATGTACGGTTTTTGATGAATTAATAAATTCATTTTTAGGTAGAATTTCGACCTCATGATGTGAATCTGTTGATACAGCAAGTGATGACGACGATGGCAGTAATTGAATTCCGTCCAAGCAAACAAAGATTTGGCGAAATGCGTTTTCGTGGTCTAAAATCAAAGTGTTATTTTCTTTTTCAAAGTGTAAGCCCTACATTTTTCTCTTGGTGTGTACACTTGCTGTTAGAAACACTGCGCTTAATGTTCGGTAGCTAGATATCGAAAGTAAAAATTCAGAAAATGAAAATATCTAATATTTCAATCCTTTTTTTTTTAGTAAAATATTTAGCGTCGATGCTTAGTGCTCTTCAGTGTACATCAATGACCATTTTTAAAACCTTTTCCAACACAGATTTACAAAGGTTTACAAATATTTATAATTATCTACGTTTGACATATTGATATATAGTTACTTTCTTTCTTTCTGCAATAGTAAATAATCCATTTAAAATTGCTATGTTTTATGACAGAAAGCCTTCGTTATTTTTATTCGAAACTTGAGAAATAGTAAAAAGAAGACAGTGACTTTTCATCTGAACAAGTAAAAGTTAATTGATCATGTTTTTGTTTTTCAGATGGCGACAGATACAAGAACTGAAAAAGAGAAAATGCTTGCTGGCGAACTGCATAATGCATTTACGCCACAATTATTAAATGACCGAGCAGTATGTCGAGAGCTTATTTATGATTTTAACTCAACGCGACCAACTGAAGCAGAAAAACGCGACGAAATTATTCGAAAACTATTTGGTCAATTCGGATCTAATTCCGTTATTGAAACACCGTTCAAATGTGATTATGGTTATAATATATATTGGGGTGAAAACTCATTTGCTAATTTTAATTTAATTGCACTTGATACATGTCCAATTTATGTTGGTAATTATGTAC